AATAAATATGAAAAGGAGGTGCTGAATGTCTAGCTTGAGTGATCCTCTATAGATAAGTACATATGACATGAAGATACGGTCACCGTATCTACAGAAGGGATCTGACAACCAAAGGTGTGATGCAGTATGAGTAGTTAGTAGAAGAATACATTGTATAGTAATTCTGGTTTTGGAAATTTTAGCCAAAGAAACCATTGTGATTCGGGTACTGTTATGTCTGCTTATGTGCCACACTGCATAGCTGCTGAGAGCCTACACCACATCGCTGATGAATTCCCCCATGGAGCTAATTACTTGGAGAGAGGAAGGAGGCAAAGATGAGCATCCCCCATGGAATTTGCTCTTGCACTACACAGCCCCACCTCAATCGACCAAAGTATCAAAACTGAGCTTTTCCCAAAGAGGCCATATCATCTCTGACATTAATTGAGGGGCATCATATTAACAAAATCAGGATCTGGTGGAAGGAACGCGCTGAAAAGATGCCAGATTCCACATAGCAGACTACAGAGGAGAATCGTAATCCTTCTGCTTGTTACCCGAGGATGCTTGTGCTTATCAAGAATGTACGTCTTGATGCTGACTTAATCTTTGTCAAAGAGTTCCTGGTCATCTCTGCCTTCCTGCCATATCCTTCTCTCTGATGACACCCCAGGAAGTGGGTACCCGTTTCTCAAAACATCCCCCAAACTCAACCTCCTCAGTGAGTTGCTTCAGATTCCTGAAGGGAATGTTAGCACAACAGGATTTCCACCTGATGATCTATCAGCTCTTTCTCCTTTTTTTTTCCCACCGGGAATTCCCACGGTTCCCTTTCCCAGCTATATCAACTGCGGGGTAGTTCTCCTTAAAGCACTTTCTGAGAGAAAAATTCATAACCATTTCTGCTCCGGAATATAAGAATTCTCTTAGGGCAGAGAAGGAGCAAGCAAGGGGTGGTGTGTTTGGTGCATAATACAAATGAACACTTTGTTTTTCGCTTTTATGATAATTTAGGGCTGCTAAGCAGGGGTCGGTGTAGCTTTCGGAAAGGGGCATCTGTGGCTACCTTTTCCCCTGTCTGGGTCCTACCCAGTGTCCATATATCATTTTCTTTTATTTACTGCAGGTTCCTTCCTCTGCCTATTTGTGAGTACATCTCACAATGGGCCTTTAAAAGCTTGTTATTTAGTTGTGAATACCCAAGAGGTGACTTCTTTCCTGAAGAATCATGGTGCTTGAGATGAAGAGGAGTACTCTTGAGACCAGGGTTGCCAGATTTAGCAAATAAAACTACAGGCTTAAATTTGAATTTCAGATAAACAACAGAGATTTTCTTTATTATAAATACATCCCCAATACTGCATCCTTTATTTCTGAGACACACTTATACTATGTGCAATACCTTACTAAAATGACTAAGATATTCTATTAAAAATTATTCCTCATTAACCTGAAATTCAAATTTAACTAGGTGTCTTATATTTTATCTGGAAATTCTATCTGAGATCAATTTTCATATTCTACAGAGACCAGAACTGGGCTAGGTCAGAGTAAGCAGCACATTTTTTAAGTTTCCCAATTAGTGGAGGGGTAGAGTGGTAGTCTTTCCCCACTAAAAATGGCGTAGGAAGGGCTATGAGTTCAAATGTGCACATCCCTCAGGACTGACCCACTCTGCCACCTCAGAATCAGGATGGATATGATATATCTGTTTGATAGTGCTTTATACATCATTACTTGAAGCTACTCCTGGCTTCTTTGGGAGGCAGGCATTTTAATTAATCACTCTTCTTTTGTACTTCCTCCCCGAGGTGATTTTTCAAAATCTTTAACTATAAATCTAATCAGCAAATTCCTGGGTCTATTTAAATATTGACATTTAAAATTTTTTTTCAACGTTTATTTATTTTGGGGACAGAGAAAGACAGAGCATGAATGGGGAAGGGGCAGAGAGAGAGGGAGACACAGAATGGGAAGCAGTCTCCAGGCTCTGAGCCATCAGCCCAGAGCCCGACGCGGGGCTCGAACTCACGGACCGCGAGATCGTGACCTGGCTGAAGTCGGACGCTTAACCGACTGCGCCACCCAGGCGCCCCGACATTTAAAATTTTTTTGAGGACGGCAGTAAACATTAATGAGATAGAGGAAAATGAAATATAATTGCTGTTGGAGTCCATGAAAAAATTCTCCTAAATGTTAAACTGAAACACATTTTCTTCAGAGCATGATGTTTCTAAGCTATGTTTGAAGGTCCAACCATGGTTTAGTGTAACTAGTATAGAGTTCAAATGAGTCATATTAAAAAAAAAAAAAAAAAGAAAGAAACTCAAATTCTGAATGTCAAACTGGAATTCTAATAGACTAACACTAACTTAATTATAAGCCTAGAATATTAAGGCCAACAATCTTTAAACAATTGGATTAACTCTTTGATTAAGGAAGCCTATCGCCATATATCACAGCTGTACTGTCATCCACTGGCTTTAACTTCTTAGAAATGAGAATTGAGGTCCCGCTCCACCCCAATTCTTCTCATTTTAAAGAATGGTATGGTTTGGACTTAAGGTGGGGGGGGGAAGGGGCTCTGTCATAGCTTTGTTACCACTCCCCTCAAAATTCTGTGACAGAGTGGTAGATTAAAAATGGCCAGTCTTTGCTCTTTTTCACATTGAAAAGTGAATACTGTCCTTCTCCTTGAATCTGGATTGGCCTCCGTGACTTGCTCGATCAGTAGAATGCAGCATAAGTGACATGCTGGGAGTATTGAGACAATTTTGTACTTAAAAAAAAATTTTTTTTTAATGTTTATTTTTGAGAGAGGGAGAGACAGAGCATGAGCAGGGGAGGGGCAGAGAGAGAGGGAGACACAGAATCCAAAGCAGGCTCCAGGCTCTGAGCTGTCAGCACAGAGCCCGACGTGGGACTCGAACTTGTGAATGAAGAGATCGTGACCTGAGCCAAAGTCAGCCGCTTAACCAACTGAGCCACCCAGTGTCCTGAGACAATTTTAGAAGAAGCTTTTTGACTTTTACCCAGGCCTCTTGAAGTACTCTCTGTCTAGGAGCCCTGAGTTACTATGTAATTGCTTGAGACCACATAGCTGGAGAGGCCATGTGCAGGTCCTCTGGTAACTGTTCCAATAGAGTTCATACTTCTAGCCATCTCCATCAAGGCACACATGTGAGTGAAGCCATCTTGGGCCTCCAGACCAGCCTCCCCCACCCACTGAGTATTACCAACAGACTTCATATTGATGCCTCCAGGAATAGAAGAACAGCCCAGCCAAGCCTGGCTGGAGTTCTTGACCCCTGAAATCATGATATAATAAGATGGTTGTTATTTTAAGCCACTAAGTTTTGGAGTAGTTCATTAAGCAGCAATAGATAGAAAACCAGGACAAATAGTGACATATTGATCTTTACACTTAGAATGAGGTGGAAGAAAAAAAAAAGGGCTGATGGGAAAAGGGGTTGGAGTGGAACGGAAGGAGATCACAAATGCCTCGGACACAAATGAAAGATGGGTTAGGGATTTAGAAGACTTTACAGCAGGTTAAAAAAAATCAGAGTCACAAATTTTTATCAGGCTACTACTATGATTGGCCCGACTTCTTAGGGATTCAGAGGGAAAAGAGCAGTAAAGTCTTGCATCGTGCAGATGCTGTGAACAGTAATGAATAAACATGACAAATAAAAATGCTTCGAATAAGAGCTGAAAATGCTAAATACGTAAGGAGCAATCTTTGCACCTTCTGAAAATCGTTCATCAGATGATTTCAAATTGGAGGTGTCTCAGGAGAAACGAACTTTGAAAACACAAACAGATTTTTATTTTTTGTACTTTTATTGAAAAGGTACATTTAAAAAAATACACAGACATTTTACCATTTACAGATTGCAGATATAGATGCTCTAAAAGAGTTCACTCTATTTTGTTGTTTTATGATGCCTCTTGCCCCTGATACCACAAACATTCCAGTCTTGTTGATATCAGTTTAGAAAGGGGGGCATGGGAGCGAGACCTGCAACATATTCAGTGAACAGAAAGACAAATTGTTCAATTATAAATTTTTTTTTTATCTTCTGTACATTATTGCATTAGGGAGCCACAAAATTATGTAGCATCGTTAACAAATGAAAACAGGTTAAAAATGAAGAAGATAATTACGTAGAAATACATGGATTCATTGTCTCCTTGCAGAATGCACAAGAGATGCAAGAATGTGCAATTGAGGAAGCTCTTTTTCTGGTTGTATACATTTGCTTAGCAACTCAAACTCGTGAGGAAGCTACAAAATAAGTTAAACAAAAATAGCAAACAGTAATTATAGCTATGTTATATGGCTTTCTAGTTCTTTTCAATATCACCAAATGAAACGTGAAATAAAGAAAATACATTATCTTTTGTTCTCTTAGAGAGAATTCAAGCTACTTTGCTTCCTAACATTTACACAGCGACTAAAAAAATGTTGAATTCAGACAAGAGATACAGATCTAGTACTACACAGGATACAACAGTACTTGGGTCTAAAACAGTACACAATCCCTGTCAACAATAGTACACCATGAAGGAAAACGTTGTGATCCGTTGGTAAGATGGGATCCACAAGCAAGCACTTGTGTTCACCTATTTTTGTTCCACACTAGAATGTGCTCAGTTGGATTCCAGAGTTATTTACAGACGTGGGAGGAAGACCCTAGTTTTCAAGTCTGTCAGGAAAAGATTCCTTATCGTTTCTAAGCCAGATCACACCCATGGGAAAATAGAGGATGGTATATAGATATAGATATATATTTTTTTCTGACCAATACATTTGCAAGAAACCAAATATCTCAGATACACAAATCGAGGTCGGCAGGGGTTGGGGGGGGGCGGTGGTGGAGAACGGGGGGACAAAGCCCGTGCTGCTCAGATCCCTAATTTCGGGAGCGGTCCCTAAAAGCACTCTGGAGCCTAGTGATTTCTTAGTCTTTGGAGTCGGGGCCGGGGTGGCGCGCCGCGGGGCGGGCGGGCTGCGGTCAGTAGGGCGCGAACAGGATGGAGGCGGGCGTGGCGCGGATGGGCCCGTGGCCCGGCCGCAGCAGGGCGGGAGGTATGGCCGGCGCCTGGAACAGCGACGCCGACGGCCGGGGCGGCAGCGACAGCGCCGACGACACCGCCGCCGCCGCCGCCAGGGGCGACGACAGGAAGGCCGGGGCCAAAGGCTTCATCATGTCTTTCTGGAATGCAAGTTTTGCCTAGCGGAGGGAGAAAACCAGGGACGGGGTGGGGATAGTGTGTTGGGTGAGCGACATGGACGTTGAGAAGTCACATTATAAAAATCTTTACTCTCGGAAGTCAAGAAATTAGGTTCACAAAGCTGGTTGCAAAGGCTCTGGGCGTACCTTTACTTTGATCTGTTTCCATTTCAGCTCTTTTTTGGGGGCCTTTGCCCCTGGGCCCCGAGGACACGGAGGACACCGGAGAGCCTCTCTGAGTAGATACTAAAGCTATTTTATGCTGCTTCTCACAAAGAACAAGCAAACATACCCAGAAGGTTTCCTGCTTAAATAATGGAGCTCAGTTTAAAAATTTAAAATTCTGACTTGTCCTAAACCACAGTGCAGCCTTGAGAGGGTTGTTTTGTTTTGTTTTTGAGAATATGCGTGACCTTTCACTTCTCTTTGAAGAGCCGCACAGGGTGAGCTAACTGGGGTTCAAGACATGAGGGACTCGTTAAAAGTCATGAAAACAGTCAGTTTACACCCCTCTCTCTGGCCACTTAAAGGGTGATCCCTGAAAAACTGCAACCGACTCAAATTTCTGTCGTTGGAAATGATTGTAAGTGCACCAGAAACGTTCTCTATTTAAAGGAACCCCAAGGTGGAACCTTCCTATAAAGTCAGAAATCAATCCTTAATTTCTCTCTTTTGCAATCAGGAGAAATCCTTAATTTCTCTCTTTTGCACACTGAATTTGTTTAATGCAGGTAACACCTGCTTGCAGCATCAGATGGAGGCTTTGCAGAAGCTGGGAGCATCGCCTCCAGCTGGCCAATCCGGTTTCAACCTCAAATGGAATGCCACACTGGGCTAAATCCCAGGGAGATTATGAAATCCATCCATCTGGGTATTTATATGACATCTATTGCTGGCGCCCCTGGGTATTTTTGCAAAGAAAGTGAAAACAACACATATTGAGAGCAGGTAGGACAGGCTGAATACCAGCATGCCTGCTAGACAAGGAAAGAGAGTAATATAAACACTCACTTTAATTTCTGGAGGCAGGGGCACGTGGGGGTGGAGAGGGGAGATGGAGGAGGGGGAAGAGGGAGAGCCCTCTAGAAAGGGAGAAGGCATTAAATGGAGTTTTGTTTTAGGAAAGCAAGCCCTCTTCCCAGGTACAGCCCATTCCAGGATTCCTCAGGCATTACTTGTTTTTGTTCCTGAGCCTTTATTTTTCTTTATAAGCTAAAGAAGGCAGCCTTTTGGAAAAGGTTCCTGGTAATGAGTAAGGGATTAGCTTCTAAAGAGGTTCAGTTTCTCTTCTGTAAAGAAGCTTCCTTCAAGGTGCCCTACAGCAGGGACTAAGCAGTTCATCCTAAAACTTCTGTCTGTGAGGGCTATTTAAATTCAAAACCTTTCAGGACCAATTAGTCGCTAGACCCTCCTAAACCACAGTCCCTGCCCAAGCCAGCAAGGCAAACCCACAAAACAGGTGAGCAGGTGAGGTGAACTTACTGCTAAAATGCTCGGGCTCCGCTGGAGTTTGTTGTAAGGGCTGTATTTCGGCTTCAGTGGCTTCCCTGCAACTCGATCCTTATGCCTTCGGCTAGAAATGTGCTGAAAAAAGTTTGATGCATTAGCTGAATCTAAATGTGAGCTTTATTCCACGTAAAATATAACTTCTAGATAGAGATAGCTGGTCACTCCATTCCCAGTTCTAAGTCCACAGTTCCAAGGTGGTTTGAATAAGATCACTGTGCTCTTGAAATTAAGACTTGCTCCCCACTCAATTTTTTTTTAATGTTTATTTTTGATAGAGAGAGATTGAGAGCACAAGCAGGGGAGTTTCAAAGAGAGAGGGAGACAGAGGATCTGTGGGCTCTGTGCTGGCAGTAGACAGTCCGATGTGGGGCTCAAATTCAAGAATCATGAGATCATGACCTGAGCCAAAGTTGGACGTTTAACCAACTGAGCCACCCAGGTGCCCTCCCTGCACCCCACCCCCCCAATTGTAATGCCTCTATTCCTTTCCTTTCTCTGTAGTACTTACCCTGCTTTGCCTGTTGTTACTGCCATGACTAATGAATCTGTCTCCATAAACAGATTTTGGGTCTTTGAAAGACAGGCTGAACATCTTGCCTTCCAGAAGTTCCTGCTTGACTACAAGCTCCAGATGACTGCTGTGCTTATCTGTCCCTAACACCTATCCTGGATCTGACTTACAGTAAAAGTACCCACTTTTGTGGGTACGTAAGTATTTGGTGCTTTTTCTTTCGCTAGCATCTGCATGTTGTATCTTGTGTGCCTCATATAAAGGTTAGTAAATTTATCTGTGAGCATAGTGAGAACCATTACATAGATTAGATAAAAAATCAAGTGGTGACCCAAACAACAGTGGATACTAATTAATTCAGGATACATTACCTGTTTGAGTTGAATTTCTGAATTAACATGAACATCACAGATTTCACAATGAAATGTCTTATTTTGTAGTCCTGACCCCTTACTGCCATTTTGCATCTTTAATCTTGATCCAGGTCTAGGATAGGACTTAATTGGACCAGCCCCATTACGAGCTTCCACCATGGTCTTGTGTTTAGATCCTAAAACAGAAAGAGACATATGGTAAATAGCTATTGAAGAACAGAATACATCTATGAACAGCTCTTTGTTTTCTTACCCTTGAGAAGTTTATCTTCAGGATGAATTTCTCATTGCTTTTTTTAAAAAAAATAATCATTTTAATGCTGATTACAAACATTTTTTATTTATTATAAACAATGCTGCTTATTGGACACATTTTCATTGTAAAAAATGGGAAAACATGAGTCCATTAGAAGGAAAATATGGAAAATATACAGAAGCATAAAGAAAATAAAGATTCTATGTTTTCACCACTCAGAGATTACCACTGTTATCATTTTAGTTAAAAAAAAATTTTTTTTAACATTTTACTTATTTTTGAGAGACAGAGCGCAAGCAGGAGGGAGGGACAGAGAGAGGGAGACAGAATCTGAGCAGGCTCCAGGCTCTGAGCTGTTAGCACAGAGCCTGACATGGGTCTTGAACCCACTAACAGTGAGATCATGACCTGAGCTGAAGTCGGACACTTAACCGACTGAGCCACCCAGGTGCCCTTCAGTTTAGTTTTTTATTCAGGTTTTGTTTTGCTTGTATATTAAAGGTATGTATTTTTTTTCAAAATTGGCATCATACTAGTTAAATATCCTGAAAATTTCACATAGCAAATCATATACTTTTTAAAATAATTACATTAAAAAATTTTTTTAACGTTTATTTATTATTTTTTTTTTCAACGTTTTTATTTATTTTTGGGACAGAGAGAGACAGAGCATGAACGGGGGAGGGGCAGAGAGAGAGGGAGACACAGAATCGGAAACAGGCTCCAGGCTCTGAGCCATCAGCCCAGAGCCTGACGCGGGGCTCGAACTCACGGACCGCGAGATCGTGACCTGGCTGAAGTCGGACACTTAACCGACTGCGCCACCCAGGCGCCCCTAACGTTTATTTATTATTGAGAGACAGAGAGAGACAGAGCGTGAGCATGGGAGGGTCAAAGAGAGGGGGAGACACAGAATCTGAAGCAGGCTCCAGGCTCCAAGCTAGAGCCTGACACAGGGCTCAAACTTACAAGCCACAAGATCATGACGTGAGCCGAAGTCGGACGCTCAACTGACTGAGCCATCCAGGCGCCCCATAAAGTAATTTCATTTTAATGACTGAGTAATATATACTCTCATATTGGGTTCCTATAGTTTATTTGACCTTTCCCTACTGAGGGACTTTTAAATTGTTTCCCCCTTTTTTTCCTAAGTGTGTTGCAGTGAACATTGTGCATAGATATTTATCTTCATCTCTGTCACTTTGTCATAATGAGTTTTGGGAAATATTAGATGCTTTTGAGAAAATAAAGAACAGAATAAGTTTTATCTTCAACTTGCTTTAAGCTTTTGCCTGCTGTTTCCAAAGTTATCATATCATACTTTTCTTAAAATCAGTCTTTTGAATCAAAAAAGCGGAGAAGACGTTGAACAAACCCAACGTTTGAACAACAAAAGATATGGTATTCTGAAGGGAAAGGTTGGTTTTGTTACAAACATTATTTAAATTCAAACGATAGCTGCTAACCTGTGTTGTGTGCCTCTAGCTGTGACAGGGAGTTCACAGCCACTTTGCATAGTGAACAATACAGTAATTTTTTGGCTTTTTCTTCTTCTGATTCAGGAACGGTACAGGTACCGGGAGCTCCATTCGTGCTCTTTGAGGGAGAAGTGGCTGCTCCAGGTGGCAGGGGTGTTGTGCCTGATTTGAGGAGAAATGAGCCACCTTCAGAGCTTGATGGCTGACTGGAACTGTTGACTTTTAACTTCCCTTTATCTTCTAAGAGAGACACAGAAAGATCGTATTAAAGCTTCGTACATGGTATAAACACAGACAAATTAATGTAAAAGAAATTAAAACTAGAAATTTGATTGTTAGGTGTAGTTTTAATCTCCAGATTGAAAAATAGCTCCATGCCATCAATTTCCAATATCAGCTCACCCCAAGAATATGATGACTTATGAAACATGACTTTTTTCTCCCACTGGCAGCAGGTAACTTTCTGATAGCCTTCGGTTGTAAATTATGCTCCAGAGAGGTCTTTAATATATAGGAAAACCAACTACCTTCCAATATGGTTACATGATATGATGGTAACATGAAATAAGTCATTAGTCAATGGTAGTTTCATTTGACTATTCATGCTTTAATTAGGACATAAATATAAAGCTAAAACTCAATTTTTATACCAAGTTAAAATTTTAACATTGGGGTGTTGGGGTATAGGTGAGGGAAGACATATGGTTAATTTTGGTTATGATTAGTTAAGTTTTTGCTGCTCTTCGAATGGCAAAGTGATTTATCTAAAATACAAGATGCAAAGATTTCATTCATTGTACTTAATACTGCCAGTCTAAATTATAAGATTTTTCTTTTAAGTAAATTCTACCGCCAACGTGGGGCTCAAACTCATGACCCTGAGATCAAGAGTTGCATGCTCCTGAGTCAGCCAGCCATCCCTAAGTCATAAATTCTAAGTAATGACATTAACCAGAAGCACAATAATGAGGATTAGCCAAATCATTTACAGACATCTTGGCATTTTGATCATGTAGCTACTAAATGCTTACAATTCTCAAGGCCCATGGTGCAAGCTATAAGAAGGATCAGAGTGACTTTAACAGAATCTAACTCGTCGGGGTTCATTTGCTATTCAACACAGGTTCTATTCAGTGGCCCCTTTGGGAAAGAAACTGGAACTTCATAGGCAACAGCCCAATCCATCACACATGTAAGCTGAGTAGAGCCGGTGCTTTTAGAAAATGTTTATAGATACGCTGATAAACTCGTATTAAGAGAAGAAGGAAATGAAAAACTAACACTTATTTGTTAATTGCCTTAGCTAACTTGGAGCTGTGTACCATGGGCCTGGATCACCAAGAGGGAAGGAGTGAGTAGGGGAGCAGCAACCTGATAGTGTGTGTCTGTTCTGCATATGGGGCAAAGCCAGCACTTACATATACACCAAAAATACCAGCAGATCATATTTCTATGTGTTTGATTTAGGTATCAACAGTTCATTTCCATCCTTTTCCTGCATTGGATCCATCTGGGTCAAGACTAGCAGATTCTATAGCTGAATTCCAGATCTGGATGGTGTTTGGAATAAGTGAATGCTCAGATCTCTTTTTATCCTTGGGTTTCACAATCTATATATTCCTTTCCAGCAAGTTTATTAAGACTTCAGGATGCCATAAAGTATGATGGAAAAGATCTTAGACTTTTACTAAACAGACCTCCACAGTATGAGAGAAGGGACTAAAATCAATCTTCCTAAATGGTAATACTAAGTAAATTAGATTGAAGATTATTTCTGGCTTAGAATTCCCTCACCTATAAGGATCCCTTAGATTGATTTTCCAATTTTATAGAATTCACAAAGCAGTGAAATAACAGTAATCTTAACATTTGCTCCTATGGAATTACTCTGTTTCTTGTGATGGAAACTTAAATTATTGCATGGTAAAATCTTTTCATAAAATTTGACCTAAGGAATCTGACCTGTTTTAGTCATTTACTCATTCTCTCTCTTATTCATATTTATTTTATTGTCCCTTATATTGGTCTCCCTCATATGTTCTTACAGTTTTATAGAACGGTACAACTTACAAAGTGCTATCACTTACATTATCTTATTATCTCTCACAACAAACTTGTGAAATAGGTACGGCTGAAAATAACTAGTCCTATCTTGTTTTTTTAATTTTTTAAAGTTTATTTATTTATTTTGAGAGAGAGAGAGGAAGAGAGAGAAATCTCAAGCAGGAGCTTGATCCCACAAACTGTGAGATCATAACCTGAGCCTAAAACAAGACACGGACACTTAACCAAGTGAGTCACCCAGGCATCCCAGTCATTCCTATCTTAAAGATGAGAAAACTAAGGCTCATCAAAAGTGAATAATGTCCCACAGATTGGTAGGTGGCATAAATGAGCATGATGTTTTCTCTAACTATTCACTGGGTAGTGTACTAATCTTCCTGCACAGAGGGTGGACTTCATATGGCATTAACATTATAAAAGGCATATAATGGTCACTGGAGATGTGATAAAGTCTTGCTTTGTTTAGTTTTAAGGCATATTTGCCTTAAATGAAAATATCTATTCTCTTCAACAAATTATTCAGGCTACATTGAGAATATGGACAAAATTATTTTTTTCCTCTTTATTCCTATTTCTTTAAGAAAAATTAAACAGATTTCCTTTCTGTATCTCCTTTTCAGAAGAGGTCATTTATTCATTAACAAATGAATATTAGCAAAATGCTAATTACTGACAATGTGCTAGACACTGAAGAGAATAGTAAATAAAGTAGGTATAGACTTTAAGAAAATTAAAGGTTAGCAGGGAAAATGAGATAGTCATTCAGAGATCTCTAATTTATGAGAGCTTGGAGCAGGAAGTGATTTCTTCTGGTTAGGAAGAAAGAGACATTCTTCATAAAGGAAGTGATATTTTGGCCAGATTTTGCAGGTGAGATTTAGATAAGAATAGAATAAGGTGAGAAAGAGTAGGAAGTGAATGCTTACAGGTGGAAACATAAGGAAATGCTTAGGTGTTGGAAAACTTGGGGTTTGCTTGAATACCTACTAGTTCAGCATAGATGATGGCAACAGGTGTAATGAGAGATATTATAAAGGTGAATTGAATCAGAAGGTAGAGAATATCTTAAAACTAGTAAAATGGATGCCAAGGGAGGCCATTTTCCTTTAAAAATATTAAGACATATGGTATATTTAACATTTACATAAATTATGTTTTAGTTTTTATCCTCTAGGTAGGCCAGAGTCTTAATCTTTGTGAATAGTAGGTATCAATTTTGCTTTGACAATGTGTAAATGGTTCCATCATATTGAGGAAATTCTGCCATTAGATTGAGACTAGCTAGTTAATGAAATAGATCCTAAAACCACTAAGCAATACTAGATTTAAATTTTGGCATTCTTTCTGGATGTGTAAATTTATAAGCTTTGAAGCCTAATTTTATTATTTCTCATTTTGTTTTATATTTTTATCAAAATCCATTATATTATTAATTCTTTATTTATTCTATATATTATTCTTTCCTTATTGGCATTTTTAAAGCCTCCTTATTTTGTGTATTTGGAAGTTTAATTAATGTATTGTTTACTTCTGTTTCTTTTAATAAAGATGCATGTCATCTGGAACTTCTGGTTAATATGAATTCTATTTTCAAGTATTCCCTCACCTAATGTTAATTAGCAGGTTCTTCTGACTGTCTTCATTATTTTCTGATTACTTAAACGCCTTTTTAAGGTTTCATCCTACAGGACTGGGAAGCAAAATTTGCTTAGCTACATCAGAATTGCCCTTTGTAACAAATGTCTGTAATTTATGCATCCAAGTGAATTTAATTCTTCAAAGTGGCGATCCACATTGATTCCCTTATTTTCCAAAGTTCTAAGCATTTTGAAAACCTCTCGTTTTGGAACTGTTTTCATATCTACTTGATAAACCATGTGAAGGAAATCAGTCTTCACTATTTATTTATCATAGTTATTTTTTACAACAAAACTTTACTCAGGTTAACCCACCTATTCCTCAAACTTAGCACTATATTCCTGAAACACAGGTTCAGGGGACTAATAAGCTAACACAGATGATGAAAAGAACATGGGAATTCTTTATTTTTAAGTTTATTTTTATTTATTTGGAGAGAGAGACAAAGAGCAAGCAGGGGAGGGACAGAGAGAGAGGGAGACAGAATCCTGAGCTAGCAGCACAGAGCTAACAGCACAGAGCCTGCTGCGGGGCTGTAACTTACCAATTACAATATCATGACCTAAGCCTAAATCAAGAGTTGGATGCTTAACTGACTGAGTCACCCAGGTGCCTCAGTACATGTGAACATCTAAAAGCAGTTTTCAGAAACTAATCCTGTTGGTAACAAGAAGACTCATGTCCATATATAGGTCTTAATTTAAAAACAATCAAAATAGTATTCTAACTACATTATAGATCAATATATATATATTTTTTGCAGTGTAACTTTGGAAGCTATAATCCAATTTTTATGAGTCTGCTTACAAGGTTTAATCTTCAGCTTAATATTATTAATATAAGTTTTTTCTAACCAGGTTTCAATGGTTTAATAATAGATACATGATTTACACAATAAATGTATGCTCAATGTAGAAAATAGTCAGACAAAAAAAAAAAAAAAAAAAAAAAAAAGAAAAGAAAAATCACCCATGATTCCATCACCTATAATAAGTCAGCAAAGTTTTCTGTAAACATATTAAGCTTCGTGGGCCATATTATTGCAGCTACTAAGCTTTGCTACGATAGCAGGAAAGCAGCCACCAGTATGGCTGTGATCTAACAAAACTTTATTTACGAAAGTAGGCAAGCACACTAGATTTAGCTCTCAGGTAGTAGTCTGCCAACACCTGACCTAGATTATTAAAATGATACCTGTTACTTCACAATTTACACAATACTACATGTGAATAGATGGAAACATGCTGTAACTCACATTTTTCAAATGGCAATAAATCAAGAATATCTTTCCACGTCAGTAAATGTAGAATTGGATCATGATTTATAACAAATGATATTTACCTATATGGATGTACTATAATTTATCTAAATAATCTTTTGTTATTTGGGTTACTTCTGGTTTGCACTCTTACAATGTTAAAAAGATACTGAATGGGAGTTTGGTTGCCTCAGAATGAAGGACATGACCCTAACTGAAAGCAGTTCGCATCAAATATCTCAGCATCTTAGAGAAAGTCCCCAAGAGACCCCCAGACACA